TCGGACCCCTGGGCCGTGGCCTTGGCCTCCCGGGGGTCAGAGGACGGGCGTCCCGTGGTCGGACCCCTGGGCCGTGCTCTTAAGGTGGTGGAGGGCGCCCAGCTCCTCCTGCTTCGTGTGCGGGTCCTGGTCTGGGCACGAGCCCCAGGCGCACAGGTGTGAGGGGAGCCCGGGACGGCTGCTGTGCTCCACCTGTCTGCCCGGGGACGGTGGGAAGGTGATGGCGTGATTCACGAGAGACGGCGTCCTTCTGTGTAACGGCCGGCAGGCCAGGGTGTGAGCCCCGCTCCCCGGCAGGGGTCGTGTCACGCTGCCCCCTGGCTTCTCCGTCCACGTGGGATCCTGGGGGTCAGGCTGAGTTGAGGACCCCAGGCCTCAGTTCTGCCCCGGGTCCTGGTAGCGGCCCAGGGCCGAGTGGCCGTGAGCCGAGGGCCTCTGCTGCCCTTGTCTGATCTTCCATTAAATCAGCCGTTTGCAAAATCCACTGAACCCCGGGGTGACGGGCAGGGTGTGGACGTGGGCACCGATTCCCATGGGTGGATGCGATCTGAGAGGCGTCGGGAGGGCGTGCGAATGGGATGGGGCAGCTGTGCCTGGGGGGCCACGTGTCCACCCCGTGCCCTGCGGACAGAGCAAGGCTCACACTGCTTGGCCACGTGAGTGACACAGCAGTGCGGCCGCGTCTGTGAACCGCGAGGAACTGGAGAGCGTCCACCCGAGGAGGTGCGGGTCTGGCAGCGGATCCGGAAACGCGGCCGGACCTGCCTGGGCCTCCCTGATCCCACTGGGTGGCCAGCAGGCGGGCCCACGGCCGGGCAGGTCCCCTTCGTCCCCAGAGGAGGCGGGAGGCACCCTCTGCTTTCGGTGCGTTTAGACTCTGTAGGTGCCCTGGGGGTAGCGGGCGCATGTGCCCCGGGCCCCGCGTCTGCTCCACGTCTGCCGGGAACTGCCCCCACCTGGCGCTGAGGCGCTGGGGTCTCTGTCCTGGTCACTGTCCCTGGGCTGTGCGGAGCCCTCAGGGCAGGCAGGGGGGGGGATTATCTCCGTTAAGTGCACAGGAGCCTGTGCCCAAAGGGAGTTCGTCGTGGTGGCCTCGTGCTGGGGCCTCCAGAGGCGGGATCGGCCCACTGCGCGGGTGCGGAGAGGCTGCAAATGCAGGGGAGGGCGTCTGAGCCGAGCAAGGAGGCCCAGCTCGGCTGGGTCACCCAGGACTCGTGCGCCCGCGAAGGCCCGGAGGCTGCGGTGGGGAGGGGTCCCGCCCGGGTCGAGTCTCCACCCGACCGTGGGAAGAATCCAGTGGGTCCCGACGCCATGGGAAGGTGATGCATTTCCTGAGCCCTCGCCTCACGCCCTCGGCCGGGTCTGGCCCACAGAGGCCCCCCAAGATCGTCTTGCTGAGACTTTCCCAGAAAGACCCCCAGGGCGAAGAGGGAGTGAACGCGGGTGCCCCAGGGCAGCTTTAAACAGGTCATAAACCACGGACATTGAAGCGGCCAGCAGCACAGATGCCCGATCGCTCCTGCCCTCCCCAGCCCCCGGGATCGCAGGGCCCAGGCTGGCCGCGTGGCATGTGAATCAGGCCCCCGGCCGTCCCCCGGCTGCACCTCCACAGCCGGCAGAGCAGACAGGGTGAGGGTTTTTAGAGAGCTCGGGGGACCCTGGACGAAAGGGGCGAGCTGGCCCTCGTGCTGGCTGAAAATCCGGCGCAGGAGAGAGGCACCCAGCAGGGCTTTAACTTAACCTGCTAGACACGTATTTCCTTAAGGTCGAGAGCTCTGAGCCTCAGCGCGCTGATGCAGAGCTCAACCCTTGCCATTCTGGACGCCACAGGCCACACGGGCAGCTTTCGAATCCTCCCCCCGCCCCGGGTCATATGGGTTTGTCGGGGCTGTTTTTAGTGACAGCTGTGTCCACTGGCCGTTTCTGGATGATTCTGGTTGGAGGCTGCCCCCAGCTCCGCAGTGCCGTCTGCAGAGCCACGTCCTGGAGCCTGAGGCTGTAGGACCAGAGGCAGGGCCGCTTGTTCCTGGGAGAGGCCGTCTTGCCTGTGCTGGAGCTGACGGCCACCTTCACACCCTGGGCATTGTAGCGGGAAGCGTGTGCGGCACATCACATGTTCTCTTACAGGCGAGGACGTGCGTCTGTGTCAAGGTTGCCCCAGGCCGCTCCGCTACCCCCAGCCTGCCTCCCTGGGATGCCCAGCTCGGAGCAGGAGCCCGTGTCGGGCTGCACACAGAGCTTGGACCCAGCAGAGGCCCCTCCTTGAGGTGGGCTTCCACGCGGGGACCCCAGCCGGTAGGTGCTCACGGCAGAAACCCCAGGTTGGGACTTCCCTGGTGGTGCAGTGGTTAAGAATCGGCCTGCCAATGCAGGGGACACGGGTTCGAGCCCTGGTCTGGGATCCCACACGCTGCGGAGCACCTAAGCCTGTGCGCTACAACTACTGAGCCTGCGTTCTAGAGCCCGTGAGCCACAACTACTGAGCCCACGTGCCACAACTACTGAAGCCCACGTGCCTAGAGCCGGTGCTCCACCACAAGAGAAGCCACCGCAATGAGAAGCCCGCACACTGCAAGGAAGAGTGGTCCCTGCTCACTGCAACTAGAGAAAGCCCACACGCAGCAGTGAAGACCCAACACAGCCAAAAATTAATAAATAAATTAATTTAAAAGAAAGAACCCCTGGGCTGCAGAAACTGCCGCCACGGGCGTGCGGATCGGGAGCGGAGAGACCCTTGGTCCTGAGGGGCCACCCAACGAAGCCACAAGTGCTTCCGCATTCGCGCCGGGACACGGGGCCACAGGCGCACCGAGTCTGGGGGCCCGGCCTGGGCTGTGAACAGCTCCTGTACCAAGTGCCCGCCCCTCCCCTGGGGCCTGCGGTCCCTGCGTCAGGGCACGTTCACGTGGGGAATCTTCACGCCCTCGCTGCGGAGGAAGCCCTCGGAGCCACGGGAGACACACGCGGCTGCTGCCGGGACCTGCGGGCGTTTCCCCCACGTGTGAGCCACACGGAGATCAGTGCCACCCGAGGACGGCGGGCAGCGGCCCTTCTCGGTGTCCTGCCGGCAGCCAGTGACACTTTCCCTGGAATCCAGTCCTGCAGGGACCCGACCCCTCACGCAGAGCCCTAGCTGACTGTGAGAGAGAGAGGGAGAGAGGTCCCTTCCCCAGCAAAGGCCCGTGAGTGTGGGCACCGGGGCGGGCCAGGCCCTGTGGGTCGTCGGCCTGGCTGATGAAAGCAAACGCACACCCCCGCGGAGCACCCGGGGTGAGGACGCCCCGTGCACCCTCCGCAGGCTCGCCTGCCCCCGCCGTGCTGGGTGCGTCCTGTCCAAGAACGCTGGGCACACTGGGGTCGGGGCGTCCGAGGCGCCGCGCCCTACAGCTCTCGGCCCGACGTGACTTCGGGGACGAGTGGCCGACCGTGGCTCAGCCTGCAGGCAGCAGGGATACTTCCCGTGGCGGCCCCGCAATGACCATCACCCGCGTGTTTCCTCCCTGCCCTCCAGCTGTCAGCGCCGCCCGGGGACCAGGCGCCTCCCCGCCCAGCATGCAGACACGTCAGACGCGGGAAGAATGACGGGAAGCAGGGGCTGGGAAGTTGGCACAACGAGGGCAAGACTAAAGGAAACAGCTTCTCTGGGAATCCTGAGTCGAAAGCCCAGGGCCTGGAGACGCTCAGCGGAGTTACGTGCTCCTGCGTCGGTGGGTCTGGAGTGTCCCCTGGGTCCCAGCCGTGTGGCTACCGTGCTACCCAGGCGCCCCGCGGACAGGCTTCACAAGAGGCCGTCTTCCTCGTCACGGCTGCTGTGGATTCGCAGGCGCCGGCTGTTCCGGAAGAGATGTGCATCCTTGCTGGCTCGAGACCTTGGTTAGAGCAAAGCTCTGTTTGGGAGAGAACCTTTATTTACTTAAGGAGGAGGCTGGGATTGCGAGGGGCGTTCCCTCCGTGCGGCTGCCCCGGCCGCCGGGAATCCGGCAGCACACACACGAAGAGGTGAAAATGTGATTAGGGGGGATCTGATGACAGCTCATTACCCATCCTGCATTTGCTACGGCAGCGCCGGGCATCTGTTACGAATTTAACTGCGCTCTTACCAGTCACTAGCAGGATAATCTGACCACCGGGATGTCTCCTGTAAACTGGTGTAAGAGGCAGGAACCAACGAGAAAACGGGACACAGGAAGTAAGCAAGGGCGGGAGTGGAGCCCCAGCCCCTGTGCAGACCCCACGGCACATCTGCTCACCTTCTCCCTGGCCCTCTCGGCGCCTGGTCGGGCCCACGGCCTGGAGGGGAGTGAAGGGGACCCTCCAGTGCCCATCACGCCCTCCTCCCAGCCCGGTTCTCTGCACCGCCGGCTTCCTAGCGAGGGGTGGACAGGGCAGTGGTCTGGAAGCCGTCCGGGGGCTTCCGGCTCTGCCCCAGGAGCCGCGCGATCACTGGTTGTGTGTTGTCTCCAGTGGAAACGAAGCAGCAGGAGGGAGGGGTGGTGTATTTGCTCGTGTGGAACTGGTTTCCTTGTCGAGTGGCTGAAGGCTTCTCTCCTACAGCAAATGGACGCTCATCTTTCTGTCAGATTTTTACTGATTTCCAAACGCCATCTTACCGTTCAGGTTCACCAAATGTCAGACATTTATCAGATAGGGCGTCAGTAGCAGCAGAAATGCAGCAGTGCATCCAAGTTAAAAACGTCCCTTTGATTACTACAAATCCGCGGCCCTTGGGCCCAAGGCTTCTACTGCAGTTTGCGAATGGATTCTTCTAGCCCATTAGTGCTGGGGGAGATTCCAAGGAAAACAGTGCTCTCGTATGAGAGCCAGCTGCAGCTTTCTGGGCCGATGACTCACACCTCCTTCTAATCGGGTGGGAGAAGCAGGCAGGAGGCGCCCAGGGACTCGGTCAACGCGGTTGTTTTCGCAGGGCGCCCTAGCCCCGGGCCCGCCCCGCGGCTCCCATCTGCCGCGCGGGTTTCTTTAACTTCTTTTCTTTCTCGCAGTTCCAATCGTGAAGACGGAGCCCAGTGACGACTACGAGCCTGCCCTCACCTGTGGACCAATGAGCCAGGGCCTGAGTCCGCTCCCCAAGCCCTGCTACGGCCAGCCGCTCGCCCTGCCGCCTGACCCGGGCTCCTGCCTCGCGCCCGGCTTCCCGCCCCGTCCGCAGAGCAGCGCCAGCCCCGAGCTCCACGACCTCTCCTGCGCCCCCTACGGCCCGGCCACGGCCGGCCCGGGCCACGGCCCCCTCGGACTTCCGCGGCCAGTCGGCGGGGTCCTCGCCGGCCAGGAGGCGCCGAGACCCGCGGGCGTGCCTCCCGGGCCCCCCCAGCCGCCGCCCCCCGCCCCGCTGCAGCCACAGGTGAGTCCGCCGTCGAGTGGTAGCTGCTCCCCGGGGTGCCGGCCAGCGCTCTGTCCCCACAGTCCCTCCTCTCCGCTGCCGCCCGGGACCCAAGAGCCGACCCGCCTGCAGCCCTGCGGCCCCGCGCGCCCCCCCGGGACGGGCCACCAGCAGCAGCAGCCGTCCGAGGTTCCGAGCAGCGAGCCTGCAGCCGCCCGGCCCCTGCCAGCGCCCGAGGTGCGTGAGGACAGTAATCATAGTCTGGCCCCCATTCCCGTAACGGTCAAGCGAGAGCCTCAGGAGCTGGACCCGCTGGACCTGGACGACGGTAAGTGCTCGCGGGCAGGCGTGCGGCCAGCCTGGCGCCGTGGGCCCGCCGCGGCAGGAGGGGCGCGTGCACCAGCCGCCCAGCTGGGGCGCGCCTGGCGTGTGTCCTGCGGGACGCCCCTGCCGCCCTCAGTGGCCCCTGGCGGCCGGCAGTGTTGCCGCCAGCCAGCGGGGTCGCGCAGCTCTGCCCGGTGGGGGCCTGTGGCTGTCGACCCTCGGGTACACTGTCCACGGGGCGACACGGGGAGAGCTCGGGGCGCCCGGGTGTGCCGGCCCTGGCCGCGTGGAGCAAGCGCCCCCGGGAGCTGACGTGCCCTGTTAGGAGGGAAGACCGCCTGGCCTCGGCCGCGGCTCCAGCTTCTCGATTCCTAGTGTCCGAACCGCTTCTCTAGTCGCGTGAACCGTTTATGTATTCGCGCAGCTGAAAGTGAGCGACTGGCACCCTGTTTGGCTCGTGAGAACACTGTAAGCACGTGACAGGCTTGTCGGAAGCTCAGTGATCAGGCGATGAGGTGCCGCTGGCTCCCTGGACCGGGGCTCGGGTCCCAGCGCGGCACCGGACTCCATGGAGACGCATTCAGGGTGATTTGGAAACCAGGCGTCCTCGAGACACCTGCAGTCAGGCTAATTCGTGTAAAAATCTGAGCCCCAAGGTCTTCCTATAAAATGAGAGCAGAAGGCACCTGGTCGATGGATTGTTTTTCTCTTTCATTTGGGAAAAGGTGCCGGGGGCCCCGTGATCTGGTGGGTGAGAGGTCACCGGTGCTCTCGTGGGCCCTGCGTGGACGGTCCGTTCGTGTGGGCGCACAAAGCCAGCCTGGAACAAGGCAGCGAGAACCCGTCCCCCAGAGGAAGCCGCACCGGGCTGGTCTCAGAACCTCTGCCTGAGGGGCCCCGGGACCACACGTGTGCCCCGAAAACAGCGGGCAGACGAGCGCCGTCGGCGGGTGCAGGGCCGGGAGAGCCCGTGGGGGACGGGGGCCCAAGCCCAGCCGTCTGCTCTCGCCCGAAAGCTGTGAGGCGGGGCAGGGCCTGGAGGAGGGAGACGGGCGCCTTCTGCGACCCCCGCCCTGACTCCAGCGGGACCACGGCGGAGCTTGCTGGCGCAAAGCAGACCTGAGGGCCAGCGTCCAACCTCAGACACGGGCCCGCCTCGGCCGGACCCTGGGGTCAAAGGCGCCGGGGTGAGCGGGGGTGCGGAGCAGGGCCTCCTCCCGTCCTGACCGCCGTCCCGGTCCCATCGTGAGCGCAGGCGTCTGGTTAGGTGAGCCTGGCACCTCCTGGGCCGTGACCAAGCCCCTAAGGTTGCTGAGGGCCCAGAACGTGGTCCTCAAGGGAAGAGCCCCTGAACTCGGGGCGGTGCCTCTGAAAGCACGTCTGAGGGTGGGAGGGAGGGACCTGGCCTCTCGAGGGTCCCACCAGCACACCCTACAGAGGGGCCGCCTGCGTTTACAGAAGAAGGACACTTGAAAGCATGTGGCCTTGGTTCAGGAAAGAGCAGGGGAGGCCCTGAGAGGGGCCTCACTGCCCCCCGAGCAGACAGGGACCTGTGAGACCCTGAGGCCTGGGGCGGCCAAGCTGACGGGGTCCAGCCCTGTTGCTGGGCTGGGGGCTGCAGCCGGCGTTTCACCAGCAGGAAGGCCCCCGTGCTCCAGGCCCGCCTGCACCTGAGCGTCAGGCGGGGCGGCGAGCGGGGGCCCCGGGGGCACCTGCGGCCACTCCTGGGACAGCAGCTTCAGGGACTCGGTCCCGAAAGGATCCTCGTGGGCCCTGCTTTGTACTCAGCGGCCATCGCCCGGGCCAGCTGTCAACGCGGCCTTTCGGTTTTGGCCACGAGAGCGAAGTGACGTCGGTTTCCTTGGTCAGGATTGGGGTCACGGTGTGCGGCTTCCCCAGAAAGTGGTGAACGCGTGTCCGTGAACGTGCGTGTATCTTCACACCACCCCCACGCGTGACGTTTCGGTGCCACCCTGCTCGTCCCCAGTTAAAGCCACGCCAGGGTGGAGCCCTGAGCGGCAAAGAGTAAACGCTGCCCTGGCCCCGTTCCGAGGGGCCCCGCCACGTCCCTGTGGGTGGACATCCCCTGCGTGGACGCTGCGCCCAGCGTCCCCCCGAGCGGTCTTTCCCAGAGGGAGGCCCCCGAGGTGGAGGGAGGCCCCCGAGGTGGAGGGAGGCCTCGGGTGCACACGCCGCGTGGCCGGGAGGCGGCCCCGCACGAGCCTGGCTTCCCTGCGGGGGGCTCTCGGGCCCGCGGGGTCGGTCTGAGCACACAGGCCGGAGGAACGGCCCTGGAAGTGGCCACTGAAAACTAAGGCTACGGGGCTTCTCTCCTGGAGTTGGAACCACACGCCTTCCGGTCAGGCGTCTGTCCCCGCTCAGGAAAGCAGTTCAAGTGTTTGTTGCTCGGTCTGAGCGGCTCAAGACTCCCCACGTCCACAGGCAGTGAGCATAGAGAAGGGGCCCGGCTCTTGCTAGAAGGCTTGTAGTGGAAGCAGCAGGAAGCACGTCTGTCCTCGTGAGCGGGTGGCCGGAGCTGTCAGCTGCGTGCCGGGGGGGCTCTTGGGGGACCTTGAGGCCACATCTCCGTGCTCGCCGTGGTTCCTCCGCCTGGAACCCACTTGCTCACTTGCTTACAGGAGCTGTGACGTAGACACAGGTCAGTCCCTCGTAAGTCCTCGAAAGACCGCCTAGTGCAGAATAAAGGCCCACATGGTGGCGTGGGGACCTGAATCCCCAGCCTCCCCGGCCCAGGGGCTGAGGGGCTCCGGGGCGGGTTCTTACTGGTCCCTCCTGACGGGGATGGGGGGAGGGGTACGCCGGTGTCGTGGGGTGGGTGTGGGCCCCCGAGGTTCCTGTACAGCTTGGACGCCTTGAGTTGGCACCAGTGACCTGATCCTTGGCCGGTCCCACCATTAAACGTTTGTGGTTGAGGGGTTTGAAAGTTAGTTTGTTAAGAGGGACGAGGTCCACACTCCCGCTTGTTCTGGGGGGAGGATGGCGTGCCTCGAGGGCGCGTGTACAGAGCGCGGCCCCCGAGGCCCGGGTGGGAGAGGGAGCCGGTCGGCCAGGCCGATCCCTGATTTAGAAAAGAGGCCCCTGTGAAAGGTTTGGAAGGGGGCCCGGGGAGGGGGTCGTCGCCTCACTCTAAGGCACACGCGACTTTCCTGGTGTGTCTGGGTTTTAATTGGCAGCCCAGCCCAGGAAGGTGCAGAGAAGAGAAAATGGAGACGAGGGCGGAAAACTAAATCAGAAAACTAGACGCTGATTTCCAGTGACCTTGACGTTAAAAGGCAGAGACTTCATCGTTGTCATTTACACCCAGGGAGAGGCGAGTAGTTGGGGTGGCTGACGACAGGGACCAGGGAACAAGGAGCAGGAGGGGGCGCAGGGGGAGGAGGGAGGGGGCGATTCAGGCTGTGCACGGCGGCCCCTCCCCAGGCCTCGTCTCAGCAGGACGGGGTAGCTGGTGCCGGGGGCCGCTGGCGGGTACGACCTGCTTGTCGCCTGGGCTTTGCCCCGAGAGCCGTGGCGCCGTTCCCCCGGGGCAGGAGGGACCAGCCGTGCACCACGGCTCACACAGCGAACTCAGCCCTGTGTCACTTGCAGGCACGCAGAGCCATTGCGCGTCACGACCCCAAGGTGACAGGTTAGGTGACATCCCGCCTGGCCCCGCCCCTCACCACCACCGCCCTCAGGGCTCTCAGAGGCTGATGGGAGCCGAGGCTGCAGTGACTCTGGCCCTTGCTTGCTTCGTGGGTGCAACCACTGAGTCAGGGGGCGATTGGGGTTCCTCGGGCTTGTTTGTGATGCTAATGGCGCCAGGTCTGTGAGGGGTGAGAGCTTATCTCACACGTGTTCTGGTTTTTTATTTGGGTTTTTTGCTTTCCGGGAACGTAGAATGAAAAAGGCAATAATAGGATATTATGTCCAGCTCCAGAGAGCCTGGGGCATCTGGGGCCTGTAAGCGAATCATTTAGAGACCGCAAAGCAGCCGTGCCTTACACGGGAGCTGCTGCTCAGTCTGTGGAGTGGCTCCCCAGATGCGGCGGGTTAACGCACGTCCCAAGCCTCCACTTACCTCGAGGAACAATTTGAGTGCACGAGGACTCGCCTCAGATGAACCCCAACTTGTCGATAGGGTTGCTTTTTTTTTAAGTTGTTTCTACTCTTCGGTTTTGTTTCAAAAGTGTCTGGACCATAAATAGTTCCCACTATGATTTATTCTTTAGTTCAACAATATGCGTGAAACATGCTCTCCACTCGGACTTCTCGATCGTGGCGGTTCCACAGCGCAGCTTTTCTTTTAAGAATTAGCTTATGGGCCTCATTTATTTTGAATGTAGATGAAATGTGTCATAAAAGCCACACGTGAGCCATTTCCGTGGTGTGACTTTTGGGACCCGCCCCTCGCAGAGCTGCGCTACGCGACCGCACAGCAGCAGCCCTCTCTGGGTGACGGGTTGTCCTTGACCGACACACGTGAGAATGTGGGCGGCTCACACACACGCGCACAGTAGTCCGTGTGCCGCTTGCGTACATCTGCTGGAAAGCCATCGTGAACGTCCCTGAAGCTCGCAGAGTTTATCCAGCCAGCGTTAACGTGAAGCGGCCCCGTTTTGCTGACGTGAGGATCCCCCTTTGCGACCCAAGCGACGGCTCCCGGGGTGTCGGTTTGTCTGCCACCGTAGCAGCCCCTCCGCGTCGTGCCCCGCCCGCCCTGTGGCCTCGGCCACGGTCGGCCCTTTCGGTCCCCTGCAGGGGCTCTCGGGTTTCCACAAGTCTAGATGTCATTAGAACAGCAAGCAGGTGGAGCAGGCGGCCAGGACCATGTCTGCCCCGCGTCTGGCTGTGTGTCCCCCGTGTCCCCCCTTCTTTCCTGAGCCTGGGCTGCTCTGGGGGAGGACACGGTGCTTTCCTCATGGAAAGTCTTACTAACCTGGCCCAGGGCCCGGCTCTGAGGCCTTCCCCGCTCCTGGTGATGATGGAAAGAGCCTGCCTTGC